GAGAAAATTTCAAGGAAGCCCAATGTTCATGCTCTGGTATGAGTACTTCTCAGACAGGATTACAGTGAGAAACAGGAACAAAAGCTCATTTAAAGTTTTCAGTTTTGCCAGAAAGGAAGTACCTGCAAAGCTGAAGCAAAGGATAGTAGCTGAAAAAAGTTATCATTAAAAAAAGCCATGTACTCTGCATCAGAAAATATGAAAGATGGCTTGAGAATATCTCAGGAATCAGTACAACCCCACTTTTCATAGACTTAAAGGTGCAAAAGGCAAAGACTGCTTTGAGAAGAGCCTCTGTTGGAAAAAGCATAGCTAAATAATTGATTTCCCAGATTTGAGTTCACAGTACTTAACCATCCAGGCAATCTGAGGCATCTACAACCATAATCAAAGGAAGGCCAGCTACTGCTTGAGCTCTGGAAGACGCTGGCGTCATTCGTGTAGTACTTGTTTTATGGGCATGCAGAAAAAGTTGTGGGATCAAGAAAGTTTCCACCCAGATTTCAGAGGAAGGCCTGAGAAGCGAGGGAACATGCCCCGAGAAGGCAGTGCCTAAAGCTGTGAGTGTGGAGCTGAAACTGCAGTACAGATTCCAGGCAGTTGGAGAAGCCAGGAATGTTGAACATCTGAGGAAAGGTACAGGTAGTGAGCACAGTCAACCCAAGAGAGACCATGAGGGCTGCAAAAGGTGTGGGGCCACTCAGGACCTTTGTAGTTTAGCTTGGTATAACTTATGTGACCTACTGGACATGGCTCTACTGGATTTAATGTTAGCCCTGCTAGGCTTTGGTCTTATTACTTTCCATCTTCTTATATCTCCCTTTTGGAATAGGAATGTATGTTGCCAGTGCTTAACAATCTTTTTGATTTTTTTTAGAGGATCACAGCTAAGAGTTTGCCTTGAGTCTCAGATGAGACTTTGGACTTGCACTTTTCAGCAATGTTGAAACTACTAAGAGCTTGGAAACTCTTATAGATGGACTGAACGCATTTTATAAAATGGGACAGATATGAATGCTTTGAGGGCCATATTATGATTTATATTTGGGATGTCCCCCTAAAATCTCATGTATTGGGAAGGTGATTGTATCCTGGAGGTACTATACTCCTAATTTACAGCTGAATGTGCTGTTAAGAGGAGGTGGGGCCTTGTTGGAAAAGGCAGTTTTCTGGGGACATGACCTAGAACCGTCCTTCTTTTGCTCTTTGCTTCCTGATGGCCATGAAGTAAGCCACTTTCCTCTGTGCCAGCCCCTTCTATCATGTCATCTCTGTTTCTGAGCCTACCAACTATGGGTTGAAACTCCTGTCAATGTGAGCCATAATAAAACTCTCCTCCTTTAAGTTGTGAGTGTTGGGTACTGTGTCCCAGCAACAAGGAAAGTGACCAAGACATTGTCAGTTCAGAGGAGAATAAAACTACGTTCTTGTTGGTAGATAAAGTGGCTGCATTCAAAGCCAAACTAAAATTATGGGGGTGACAAGTAAACACTTGGATTTTTGACATGTCTCAAATAGTAGAAGAGATTCTGAAAGACACTCAGCCATGTCTTTCTCTTACCTGGTGAATAATCACCTTACTCAACTTTCAAAAAGGTTTAAGCATTATTACTCAACCTTAAAAGATACCTGAACTGGGAAGGAATTAATCCAAAATTCATCTGTGAATAAGACAGGTGAATTGTATTTGTTTGTGTTAGAAGAGGATAAAATGCTTGAGATGCAAATAATAGTGTCCTTAAAAGTATGTTTGTGAATTAAGTACCATGGGAGAGATGGAACTTAGGGTAGGCCAGAGAAGTCTGACTAGGTGGGCTTCACTTCAGAGGGGAGCTGTGCAGTGAGCCTTTACGAATGAGGGTTTTTTTTTCCCGGTTTTGTTCTGTTTTTGAGACAGGGTCTCACTATGTAGCTCAGACTGGCCTTGAACTAACTATGTAGCCCAGGTTCACCTTGAACATGCAGTTATCCTCCTGCCTCAGTCTCCTGAGTTCTGGGATTACAGGCATATACCACCACACTCAGCTAGAGGGAGTTTTCCAACAGAAAAGACAGGGAAAACATGATAAAGGCAGAAGGCAGTGAAGGCATGTTCAGTTGAGGGAATGATGTACATATATAGCATGGCAAAAGAGGAGTCCATGTGGATTTGGACCAAACTGTGAAAGAGTTTGTGGGCCAGATAGTTGGTGACAGGGAGGAACAGGGAAGCTGTTAAGGAGAGGAATAACATGATCTAATTCAATTTTTATGACTACCCTGGAGGTGGTAAAGACAGTAAATAGGCATCAGAAGAGATTCATAGCAGAGAAATACGTTGGAAGGTGTGCCACTCTCTCTGGCTGTGTAAATCCTTGCAGATGCCAGATGTGAATGGTTTCTCAGGCAGAAATGCTAAAATTCAGTGTCTGCCTGGATGTCAGGCTAAGGATGCAAGGAAAGGGAGGAGGCTAGGGTGACTGGTGGTTTCTAGACACAGAGACTGGGGTTGGCAATTGTTAATTCCTAAGAATAAAATACAAGGAGGAGGGGCAGGTAGATGAAAGCATAGAGGTTTCTTCATTGAAGAATGGCACCAAAGTATGTTGGTACCTACAGTACTTTAAAGAAACTACTTACATTACTTTGTGACTACCTTCATTACTGTACAGTTTACTGACTAGTACTGGTCACACAAAGGATGAGCAAACCAACAATTCATTATTTTCTCTGAATAAATATTCCTTAATTATATAAATGATGTAACCCTATGAATGAAGAACTGAATAACTTGGGCACAGGGTTTCTTATTTTTTTTGTCCCGTTTTAAGACAAGCATTGCTTAACAGAGACACTTCCAAGAAAGAACTAGGTGTTTCAAAGTATTCTGTGGATTTATTTTATGAACCAAGAAAATAAGTCTCTATATATAAATATATTTTTTTGTTTTGTTTTTTGTTTTGTTTTTTGAGACAGGGTCTTACTAGGTAGTTGAGACTGATCTGGAACTCACTATGTAGCCCAGGTTGGTCTCGAACTCACAACAATCCTCCTGCCTCATCCTCCCGAGTGCTGGGATTATAGGCATGCGCTACCATACCCAGAATAAGTCTATATTTAAACTAATGCTATCCACAGCTTAAACTGTGTCAAGATGAGGACAGGTAGATTCGGTTATGCCTCTGTAGGAGAGAATATCCTATACGAATCATAGAACCTCATTCATTCATTTCTTCATTTGCTCACCCATACACTGTATTGGGTGCCTATAGTCTGGGAATGTAACAGTAAAGAAAGCAAAAATGGTTCCTATATTCATAAAGCTTACAGTCTAATGGAGGAGAAAAATGCAAGCATACAAAATGTAATATATATTATGAGAATGGCCAAGAAATAAATCAAACAATGTGCTGTGATAAAGAATAACCAGGGAGACATATATTAGGTAGTTCAAAGAAAGTTTGAATTAAACAGTCAAATAAGTAGCAAGTTTGGGTGGGAGGGCATAAAGACATTTTGAACAGAAAGGATAGGAAGAAATGAGAAAAAAAGCCAGGGAAAGCAGAGGTAGAAAATGAGGCAGAGATTAGAAAGGTAGGCAGGGAGTGTAATATCTATAGAGACTTCCTTTTATCAGATCAGCACTGTGGAGGAAGTACTTTTTGCAAGTACCATTTTATGCTTAATCAAAAAGTATTCTTTGAGTGCTTTTAAATCTTGTCCATTTTTGCTAATTTAGCCCCTTTTAAATATGAAATTAAAAATTTAAAATATCATGCCCATGTAGTGGATTTGCTATGGTGTACTGAGCATACTCGTGCATTTAGAGATCCCTGCAATTGCCGGGAGTGTTGCCTGGATGCAACATGGCAGGTGAGTTCCTCTCATCACAGCCCTCAGTGAGTGAGATGGAAGCCAGCCACTCCTGAGTGCTCAGGGCAGGAATGTAAAGTCCATAGCAGGGCAACTCTGAGGAGTGCTTTCTACTCCAGAGTTCCCTGGGAACCTGTGCAGGGAAAATGTCATCCTATCCAACTTTCTCATCCTGCCCATAGGTACAGCCCCATACAATTCCCATGCAGGAACCTCTCAGAACCTGACCAAAAAAAAACCCAGCACATAAGTACTGTCTATTCATACATCATTTTACAGGTAGTATTTCAAAGAGCTTCTTCCTGTTTAGTATTTGTAGGCAATCTGGTGATCTCTGTGATGGTGATGGTGATGATGACGATGAAGAAAGCCACAGAGCATTTGTCTGTATCAGCTCTATGCCGAGAACTTTATTATGCGTTCCTCTTTCACTTAGTCCTCACAGCAACATTTTAAGATTGTTACTATTACTGTACTATCGAATACATCATGAATTAGGAAAAATAAGTGACTTGCCCAAGATCACACCACAAATGAAAGTTAGAACTAAGTCTACTGTCTAGTTGCTCTAATGTCTGTGCTATAGGTCATTATACTGGTCCTCTCGGATTCACTCATTTTAGTAGTACATTAAATTTTGTTCTGTATTTCCATAGCTTCCTATGATTTACAACAAACCAAATGATCACCCAACCAACAAAAACCTTGTTTTATAATTTATATGCTTATAATTAAGTTATATGCTTATTGACAACTTGTAATAAGAAGTTAGAAGAATTTTTTTCTGAGTCCTGTTGAATAATATAAAAAGAGACTAAATATTCTGAGACCTAACTTTATACATCATGTAAGGGTACAAGCTCCCAATGATGAGTGTAACTGTATTGCATGCCTAAAGTGTATGATAAACTTAATAAAAAAAGAAGATTCTGTTCAGGAATTCCTATTTATAGCTAAAAGCAGAATAACATTAATTAAAAAATTAAAAGAGAATTCTGTGGTTGATGAAGCTGTATTTTCACAGTCAAATATTTTTAATTAGTTGTTTTTCCCCTGTGAATATCATTTCTCTCAATTTCCCTCACCTTACACAAGAATTCACAATTTGATCTACAAAGAAATAAAGGTCTAGAAATTGGAGAACTTACCTGTCCAATAATGAGAGGTACCACAACAGTCATAAAAAGCTGAGAAAAAATAGATGTAAAAGGCACAGAAGAGGATGAGCCAAGCTGTAAAACCAGAAAACAGAAGTCAGAATTACTTTGAGTGAGTCATCAAGTATTGGTTTTAATTAAATAATGCAACAAATGAATTTCATTTCAATAAATTTTTGTCACATGCACCAAAATTTTGGTATAGATCAACAAAGAGTTCATGGTAAGATGAAAAACACAGTGAGCATTAATTCCCTCAGAATACAGCCCCTCACTTTGAGCACACTTATCCCACTGTTTTGCCACTTTCTGAAGTAGTCTGGAAGTCCTCTTTGAGTCTTCTCTTGGCTGCCTTGATGACTTGAATTGATTCAAAATGTTTACAGCAATTTCGTCAAATAAAAACATTACGGTGTGTCCTCATCCACCTCATTTACCAAATCTGCCACTGTGCAACTTCTGGCTCTTCCCCAAAGTTAAAATGACCATGGAAAGTAAACATCTTGTTTTGAATCCATTCAGGACATCAAGGTAGTCATGATAGTATAACTAAAGACACTCACGGAGGAAGACATCCAGAACTGCTTCAGAAAGTGACAAGAATAATGCGACGAGTGTATCTGAAGTGAGGAGGAGGATTTTGATGAGATTAATGGCAATGTGTGATTTACTGTAATATTTTAAAATTTAAATATTTACTCTATTTTGTGATCACACCTCATGTAAAGTTATCTCTAATTTTCTAAATTTACATAAAATAGACTGGTACTTTAAGAAATGATTTTTATTAGGAGACCATAATTAAGAAAAAATGATTTTACTACTTATTTGTAATTAGCCTACGTTATTATTAAATATACTTTTTGAATAGTAGTTCCGTACTCTCATACAGTATATTTCATCTACAATGATACTTTATATAAACAAATGTCGCTCTTTTAATAATAATCTTTTTATTTAAGCAAGTGAAATAATTTCTAAAGTTCCACACCTTCAAGTCAATGAATCTCAGATCCTTTATAATTCATTCTGATACAAGGTTTAGCAACTGGGAAATTCTAAAACATAACTTCTTTTTATTTTATTTTTCTAATTGTTACTTTTTATTAGTACATGTTTGCGGTACATAACGATTACATTCCTCCTGGGGACTTGGTACATGTACATAACACATCTTATTTCTCTTTTATCCCCTTCCCTCCAACTCCTCTCCCTCCATCTCTTGGACCTCTTCCCTTTTGCCGAAGCTCTATCTCCCTGTTATCTGTCTTTCATTTTGTTCTTTATATTTTGAGTTTCTCATATAAGAGAAACAATGTGACACTGAAGCTTGTGTGTCTGATTTATTTTACTTAACATTATGGATACTTCTTTAGGGCACAGCAGTAAGGACCACATTCTAAATTTTCAATGTCATTCTCTTAAATGTGTATTCCTTAACATGGTTCATAGCTCCTATTTTCTCTCCTCTCTTGTTTTTTAATTCTTTCTTTGATGACAACTACAATCTCAGGTCCATAAAATATGTTGCCTTCAGACAAGACTATTGCACACTCACTACCCTCAACCACCAAGAAGTGCTCATCTTATGAACTTTCTAGTACTTTTCAATATCTCCTTCCAGTGTTCAAACCACTCTAGACAAGTAAGAGCCTCATCCATAAATGTTTCTGTTTCTTGAGTTCCTTCACAGTATGGTTCCCCCAACCCATCAATAATTTCTTCCTGGCCCTTGAAACTTACTTTTCACCTTGCCTGTACAGATTAAATCTTCATTTTCAGATTTACCTATATGATTACTTAAAACTGGATATAATTTTGGAGAGTAGTTTCGTGAAAAACTATTAAAAGGGTACAAAGTATCATCAAATATCTAGATAAATGAGGCTAGCATCTCAGAGTAAAACGATGCTGGATCAGGGATTTCATTAATTTCTACATAAATTACCAGAATCTTTTCCCTATCCTTCTATACTGACCCCAGCTATCAACTCTACACCCAAATTGTACTCTGACACTTTTCCTCCACAAGTAATAAAAATAAAGAAATGAAGATAGTCAAGCGGGAAAGGTGGTAAAGGACGGGATTTCCGAAATATCAATTGTTAAGTTATGAGGTGTTTGTTTTTTAAGCAAAATTAAAGGTTTAAAAGCTGATAATTACACTATTTTATGCCAACTATATCTTGAAGTATGAGTTGCTTAACAAATATATTCTCTTCACAAGTACTAATCCTAAATATGTTCTTGGGGCAAAGATAGAAACAGAGAAGAAGATAGATTTTTTAAAAATTTTTTTCAGCTTTAATTGAGTTTATTGGTATATTTTAGATATACAGTACAGTTACATTCATTATTGGGATCTTGTACTTTTACAGGACAGGTCTTGGTTCTCATTTTTTCCCCTGTCCCTGCCCTCCCTTCACCCCCTCCTCCCCTCCCCATCTACAAACACTTTATTTCCATCTTTTCATTATCTCACATTTTTTTCTTTTCCCTTATTACCCTTCCCCTACCCATCCCACCTTCCCTACACCTTTTAGATTTTTATAGGGAAATCAAGGCACTGGATATATAGAAAAGTAAACTTTAAAGAACAAAGGTTTCAAGCTCCATGCTCTGCTCAAGATGTTTATAAAGTCTGGATAGAGTCAGCAGGATTCAGAGTTATAGCCTTCGTGTAAAGGTAACAATTCTCACCTGGAATCTCATGTGTCCCTAGCCCCTGTTTCTACTTCAAATTCATAAATGTTTTTAGTGTTTTTTTTTTAATGAATAGCTATATAAAGCTATGTTCCCTAAGTAAGCACAGAAAAACAAAGGAAAGCTCATCTCAACTTTGGGATTAAAAAAATATGAATTTTAATCTCTTTCCCCATCACATCATAGACTATTGGTGTGTTAAATGTCTGGAGACCTCCCATTCCTATAATACAACAGCACAGAGGAGGAGGCTGTCCATGATCCCCAGTTCCCCTTATCATTCAGAATGCCTGTGACTTCTGATCCACTTGATCAGAAACCCAGGTACAGCTCCTGTACAGTGCCGTCAGATCAGAGGACTAGGGTACAACGATCAGGGGTGTCATTAACTGCATACCTAGAGCCAGAAGGGGGGTGGCGGGGCTGCTGGATGGGAAGACACACAGGGCGGCTTCCTTAGATGTGGCTCTGAAAGGAAGGGAATCTTACTATGAGAGTGTAATTTGGCCTAAGTCCTTTCTTTTGAATTGGCTACCAGACCTGTCACTGAGGTCAGTGTGAAGATGCAGAGGGGCCCTCGGGAAAGTTTCTGATACTATGAAGTGTGCCCTGGCATCCAGAAGAAAGAAGAGCAAGCATCTGGCATGGGGCAGCACATGAGAACACAGCTCACAAAGTACAAGACACAATCATTTTGTATGTAGGGTTGATCTTAATTAAAGCAGAAAGAAATATGCTGCCTGGGATATTCGGTCCTTCATATTTCCATGAGGAAACTGCTGTGGTTTCTATTGTAAAGACCAATGGGTGTAGAAGAAGCATCACTGATGTGCAGGTAAAATATGTGGGTTCAAAATCAGCTTGTATCAAGGAAGTGCTCTGGCCTTACTGAATTAACTGCAGATTTAGAGGTAGTATATCTCATATTGTCAAGCAATGCTTTAAGATGTAGCAGATTAAGCAAACAACCTAGTCACTGGTGAATTTCTTGCATAAATATAATACGTTAAAGTAGAAAACTCAAAAGTAGATTGGCTTGCTTCCCCCCACTCCCCACTTTGGTACAGGATATGGAACTCGGGTCCTTACTCTTGCAAGGCAAGAGGTGGCACCACTGAGCTAAATCCCTGGCTTGGCCTGCTGGTTTTAGTATCTTAGGCTGAGAAGATGACTCATGAAAATTCAATATAAAATAATTTAGTACCTTTGTGTCCAACTGTTCACTAGTCCTTCCTACGAGCCAGGGAATGTTTCAGCCACTAGGGGTGTAACAGTGGACAAAACGCATGTCTATTACAAGGACTGCCCGCTTAGGAATGTCATGCTACCTACTTACAACTAAAAGTCCTGGTCCTTTCCCAAGATGCAGTTTAAGTAATGCCTGTGAAGGAACTCTTTCCACAACCTTCCAAAATACTGAGTTGCCTCCTTTCCTTTTTGTGAACCACTGCTCTCTGTGTTTCCACTGTGTCTCAGAATCCTTGGTTGTTTTTCTTACAAATCTGTCTCTCCCAGGAGTCTGTGTGCTTATGAAGGTCAGAACACTTGTCTTTTTCACATTTTCCATCCAGGGCAATGCCTCACAAACTTTAGCATATAAGAAACATCTGGAGAGCTAGTTACACAAACGTTGCTTGGTCCTATCTTGGTTTTGATTCAGAAAGCCTGGGGAGCATTATGGGAGATGGTAGAATTTGCATTTCTAACAAGATTTCGGGTGATGTGGCTGCAGCTGCAAAGCTGGATTTCCCACTTAAGAACCATTAATCTAGTACACAAAAGTGTGTCAGTTAATGAATGACTATACTTTACAGGTAGAAAAGGAGGCTTGACTGTGTCCTTTCCACTCTTCCAACCATATTCAGGTAAGTTACAAAATCCTACTTAGTTCACAGACCTGAGAAAATACCAGCCTGGCCTCCCACCCCACTGTCTCCTTCAATTACAACAGCAATACTGATTATGCATATGGAAGACACCGCTTTAAGTGCTAAAGGTGTGTTGAATGATAAATTCTCACAGCAGTTCCTTGAGGTTAACTTAATTACTATCCCATTTTTATATCAGGCAACAGTGGCACAGAACAGTCAAACAACTTGGACAAGGTCACTGTAGCTAGAAAGTGACAGCCCAGGATCTAAACCCAGAAGTGTGGTTTCAGAACTCTCACACTTCATCTGTTCCGCCCCGTGCCAGAGTCACAGAGCACTGAGGAGGAGGAAGGAGGAGGAAGGGGGAGGAAGGGGGAGGAAGGGGACACAAGTGAAACCCAAACTGGGCTGGAAAGAGAAGTAGTGTGTGCGTGTGTGTACGTGTGTGTGTGATGTATGGTACCAAGAACCTTTTCACAACTGAGGTTTCTGATTTAGAAC